CAAATCCACCATTGATTTGAACCAACCCAAACTCAACCCAGACCTTCCTTCTCCCAACAACAAATCGCCGCCGCCATGGCCTTCTCAATCCGCCACTCTGTTTCCCTTCCCCTCTTCATCTTCCTAATTTCCCTTCTACCAAAACAGCACTGTCTCTCCTCGAAGCCGCCTCGCCAGATTTTCGCCCTGAAAACAGAGACCCACCAGCGGATTCCCAATTCCAGGCTGTTCAAGACCCTCGCCGCGGGTTCCAAATCCGACAAGATGCTCTTCCACCACAACGTCTCCCTCACCGTCTCCCTCACCGTCGGGTCGCCGCCGCAGGCCGTGACGATGGTGCTCGACACCGGTAGCGAGCTTTCCTGGCTCCATTGCAGGAAAACCCCAGGATTGAATTCCACATTCGATCCGCTGGCTTCCAAATCGTACGCCAAAGTCCCCTGCGCCTCGCCCACTTGCCGGACCCGGACCCGGGACCTGTCCATACCCGTCTCCTGCGACCCGGCCAAGATCTGCCACGTCACCGTCTCCTACGCCGACGCCACCTCGATCGAGGGCAGCCTCGCCTACGAGACGTTCCGGATCGGGTCGATGACCCGACCCGCTACCCTGTTCGGGTGCATGGACTCCGGGTTCAGCTCCAACTCCGAGGAGGACGCGAAATCGACGGGGCTGATGGGGATGAACCGCGGCTCGCTCTCCTTCATCAACCAGATGGGCTACCCGAAGTTCTCCTACTGCATCTCCAGCCTCGGCTCCTCCGGCGTGCTGCTCCTCGGCGGCGACGCCTCCTTCTCGTGGCTGAAGCCGCTCCGCTACACCCCGATGGTGAAAATCGACGACCCGCTGCCGTACTACGACCGGGTCGCGTACACCGTCCAGCTGGAGGGCATAAAGGTAAACAACAAAACCCTGCCCGTACCGGAATCGGTCTTCCAGCCGGACCACACGGGCGCTGGCCAGACCATGGTCGACTCGGGCACCCAGTTCACTTTCCTGCTCGGCGATGCCTACACCGCGCTGCGAACCGAGTTCCTCGCCCAAACCAAGGGGATTCTCCGGGTCCTCGACGACCCGAACTACGTGTTCCAAGGAGCCATGGACTTGTGCTACCTGATCGAGTCGACCCGGACGGTCCCCCCACCCGGCCTGCCCGGAGTCACGCTGATGTTCCAAGGGGCCGAGATGACCGTATCGGGCGAGAAGCTGCTGTACCGGGTGCCCGAACCGACGGTGAAGGGGAGGGATTCGGTGTGGTGCTTCACATTCGGGAACTCCGAGCTGCTGGGGATCGAGGCGTTCGTCATCGGGCATCACCATCAACAGAACGTGTGGATGGAGTACGATCTGGCTGGGTCGAGGATCGGTATCGCGGAAGTCAGGTGTGACGACGCTGGTCGACAACTTGGGTTACATGTTTAGTGAATTTCAGACACTTGTTAGGCAGGCACTGTAAATTACTAAATTTTTTCTTTTTTACGGGTGGTAATTAGAGGGTCCGGGTGAAAACTGAAAAGGGTGGGTGAAATATTTTTGTGGGGAGTAGAAGACACGTGGTTTTGTTGTCTAATTAATTGAAAGGGCTCGTCTCAGTGGTATGGCCCGATCATTGTTCGGACAATGGTGGGCTATGTTGAGGAGTAAATATCGGAACGTGGTTTATGGGTTGGGTTTCATTTACACCTTACTTTATTATTGTACAGTTGTACTGCGGATTTCTGAATGAACCTCAGCCTCACAATGAAAATGTCTCCTGCTTTACCATTTTTTTTTTAACTCTATAAAGTATAAACTATAATATGATATGGAATTGTGTGCTAAGCTTTTCTTGTACTTTGTTTTATTCTTAGGGGTTAAACAAATACGAAAGCAAGGAATTTCCTTTATTCACACGTATAGAAAAGGGCATTAAAAATGCCAGAGAAAAGGAAAAGGGACAACCATTCATGAGGGGAAGGTAATAGTTAGTTTATTAGTTGGGTTTTCTGTTCTTGCGCGTCATGAGACACGAATCAGCCACTTGTTGTTTTACGTTCTGAATATCCGGGTCGGCCTTTAAAAATTGGCGCAACTTTTGCCTTTCAAAATAATATTATAAAAAAATAGTATACGTGTTGAGTGTAGTAGAGAATTTCATTGAATTTGGCGAGGCTGCTGAGCTTCAAGTAAAAGAAATCAAGTGAATTGTATACATTGTAGGGTAAATTGAATTTGTAGATTTATGGATTAAATATATTGGTGAATTCATGGATTCAATCGTTTGGATTGATTGATTGATTCATGAATCTAAATGATATGTATTGAAAAAACCGGATCACAATAGAATCAGACAACTTGACGGTGGACGAGAGCAGAGATTGAGAATTGTTAGTTTGTTACATTAGCTGGGAATCATATTGTATGGAGAAGACAAAGGCCAAAGGGATTTAAATAAGGCTGAAGAGATGGAGAATTAAATGCATTTTTATTTTCTCTTGCTTTATTAATCGGCTCATATTTTTTTCGTTTTAACTCGGATTTCAATTTTTTTGCATATATGAAACGAGTTCGTTGTGTTCTACAAAATGAGATCCATTTTCAATATTTTTTTAGGAATAAAAATAATTTATTGCCTCTCGTTGCCAACTACATACCATATGATATCTTCTTCATTTTGAAGTTGTTTTTGAAATTTTTTGCACAGAAGGAACGAGTTCATCATGATCTATTGGATCTACAAAATTCATGACAAAAAAAATACTACACAATACCACCCTGGTACGGGGGTGGTATCTTGTGGTACACAATGTTGAAAATCGTAAATGACAGTTAATATACTCCTGTTATCATGTATTCAACTATCTTACAGTCTTGGTATGTTCATATCACCATAATACGTTTTTCATTTCATATGATATGCTCTTATTTCAATACCAGTCAATACCATATGATATAGACTGGTAAAAAATGGTTCAATTTTTTTTTTTTGTTTAAAAAATATATCAAAGTGGATATCATTTTGAAGAGCACAATTAATCTGATCTAACTGTGCAACAAAATTTAAATTCCAAATTAAAACGAGTGACAAATCGTTCGTTAAATATTAATAAGAGGAAAATTGAAGTTTTTCAGAAGAGAGAAAGGACGCTGATATGAAGAATTTTAATTGAGTTATGCATCGTTATTAATAAAATGTTATGCACCTGATCCGCTCCCCTCTCCACTCCCTGACTTGAATTAGAAACCGGAAAGGAAAAAGAAGAAGTTGGGAACTCAGAGGGTGAGGGTGACCATCGATTGGTGGCAAGTAATTTTAGGATTATATTGAAAAGGTGTAAAATTATGGGGAGATGTTTAATTGAACTGAAGAGTGGTTTGTGGGGCTGTGGGTAGTAAATTGGGGTGGGTGGTTGAGGTGGCAACTGGCATAGTGAAGGAAGGATTCGTTGATTTGGGTTGGGAAGTATATGGGCAGGAGGGTTGGAGTTTGTATCTCTCGGGTCCGCTCTGACTTGTTTATCCGGTTCCATAGGGGAAACGGGTTGGGTCAGACCTGCTTCAAAACGAGTCGGCCTGAATCAGACCTGTTGGATGGAATTGCCAGGCTTAAGAACATTTGGAGTGCTTATAAGAATGGCAATGGCTGTTCAGTGAGAAAATCAAAATAGGAACATAAACCGTAACGGATAAGGACACAAATATTGTCTATCTGTGTAAGATGGGCGGAGGGTGTTTGAGTGGGGAGTGGGTGCCAGCCAGCCCATATGAATATGATATGATCATTTGGCCTAGTGGGGGGAAGAGTGAAGACCATACTGTTTGTTTGTTGGATGCTTCACATCACTGCTTGCTTGCTACCTAGCTGATCAATGTCGGATATCTCTGTTCATTTCATTTTTTATGCTGTGCCAACAAGTCAAGCACAGAGATCGCTGCAGTGGGAACTGGGAAAGATTAGACTAGACTCACTCGACTAGTATTATACTATACGCTGCTGGTAGGAGGAGTACGACTTCAGTCTGCTGCTGTGCTTTGCCTCAATTTCATATTACTCTTGTTTGGTGTTTCTGTATTTTAATCAATTTAATGAATTGAGCTTAAAAAGGAAGAAAAAAGAAATAGAGGATTCCCCTCCCGCTGTAAGACTAATGTAGTTAATGACTGCGCCATCCCGCAGCCAGCCAGCCAGGCTGGAAATTGTTGTGCTCAGCAGCTGCCGTGTGGAATCCCCACTTTCCCCAAATTTATAACCCCTGCTGTCGCCTCACATTCAATTCCTTTAAACCCACGCTAATTGAGAAACACAAAGAAAGAAGCCTTTTCCGCCTTTCTCTTTCTGCCTCGTCTCCTTTCTTTTCTTTCCCCCCTTCGTTTACTTCCCATTTCCAACTTCGGGCAAAAAGGAGATACGACAAATATGTGTATGGCCAGGTGGACTGGTTTTCAGATCGTTATAATCTAACTAATTTATGTAAAATACACTCACAAATAACAAGCACAATAGTATATGATACACCAATATGTCAATTTAACAACAAGAAAAATCAAAACGATTTCTAACAATTTTTATTCGACGGTAGGGCTTGCTATTATACACAATATCTATAGTCAATTATGTTTAGCTTTATTGATGTACAGAGAGTTCAATTGTCTCTTGCTCAAGAAGTGATGGAATGCATTGAGTGTTTTGTTTTTATTTTGATCCTTAGCTTCGCAAACTGTTCGCATTCCATTACTTTATCAATTTCCAACTACTCGAGTTATTGAGATCAACTGGTGTTTTACAACATTTGACATGTGGTTACTGTACTTTATAGACTTAATAAGATAGTTTATTAAAGTTAACTCTGTATCATCTTCTTCTTGACCACACAACTGTTAAGTTATATTTTGTGTGGTGGTTTGTGCTTTCAAAAAGAGCTACCAAAGTTAGTCTACGAATCCAACGGAAGTGGGTCATGGTTGACATCATTGTTTTCTACGTCGATTATAAATGGCGATTCTCCCTAACGGAACGGTGCCGTGTTAATATAGTTGTCAATAAGGAGATTAACCCATCTAACTACTCTCACTACTCCGGCGACCTCACGACGAAAGCGTTTGCTTTGTTGGTGAGGTTAAAAAAATAATAAATAAGAAAACAAATCCAGAAAAAAGGTAAAAGATTATATAGGAAAAAGGAAAAGGAAACAAACAACATGCCAAGCCCGGGGCGTCCGAGTCAAATCGCTCCGTCCAACTCGTCCTCCATCTCCTCGGACGCCAAATTACCGTCGCCATTTCCCCAACCACCACAATGAATTGAAGGTTTTGATCAACCGCTCGACCATCCATCGCATTTTCGCCTCCAGATCCGGCGCCCTTTCGTCCTCCGCGCACAGCGTGAGTTTTCTAGTTATCTTTCTCCATTCACAAGTCGTCTGGATTCCGGCATGGGTTTTCGCTTCTGTTGCTTTGATTTCGACTGTGGTTTTCCCGTATCGATTTGACAGTGGGGAGAGAATTCAACGCACCGTCGCCGGAGATTATCTGACGAGAACCAGAAAGAGGAAGAAAAATCAGAACAGAGGAGGAAGAAAATGAGTTTTGTTTTCCGCGGGACCAGAGCTGAATTAGATTTAGAAAATGGCTTTCCTGGATTCGTCCCTGAGCGCCGTGCAATGGTGAGATTTTCTCTTCTGCTCCTGATCATGTAAAACGTTCGTTTCCGCTTGCTGCTTTGAATTGATTTCACCTCCTGATTGTTTGTTTCAGCGAGTTCATCCGACTCGGCCGGTTAATTCCAACTCGCTTGTATTCCTCGTCACAGGTATGTTTTGTGTGTTTGGGGATCAAAATTCTACGTTTTTATGATTTGATTGCATTGCTTTTCCTGATGAATAATTGTAAAATTGGGTTCATGCAGTTCTATTGTTGTTCATGATATTGAACTCACACCAAATGCCTCCCAATTTCCTGGTGATTTCCTCTCTGTTTGCCCCCTCACAATTTGTTTTCTTCTCTTCTTTCCGTTTGGTACTTGAGAAATTCGAATGTGTTGTAACTTTTGGATGCTGGGTTGTAGCTATGGCTGGTGCTTGGGGTATTTTTGATGGCCACAATCTTGAGGATGTATGCAACTTGTCAACAACTGCAAGCTCAGGCGCAAGCTCATGCGGCCATTGCCAGTGGGCTACTTGGCCATACCGAATTAAGGTTGCATATGCCACCATCCATAGCTCTTGCAACCAGGGGACGTCTACAGGGCCTCAGACTCCAGCTTGCTCTCCTTGATAGAGAATTTGATGACCTAGGTGAGGCTTATTTTTTTCAAAATCAGTGCTAGGGGTGTGTTGATCTGTCATTTTTGGTGAATTGACTCTTAGCTATGCGGTGATTGGAATAATACATTTTGATGGATGCATGGTTTTGTTTTCTTACCATCACTGGATTTGGCTTTTTTGCAGATTATGAAACTTTGAGAGCACTGGATTCTGATGTTGTTCCCACCACTTCAATGAGCGAGGAAGAGATAAATGCCCTTCCTGTTCATAATTATAAGATTTCTGGTCCTCAGATGTAAGTTTTCCCAGGTGTTGTTTAACTCGTCTGATGTTTACTTTGGATTTGCTTATGTCTGCCTCAAGCTGCATGATCATACTTCTTGTCCTGTACTTAACTCAGCTGAACTTGGACACTTCTTGGCAGCTGAACACATTTTGCTTACTCTTGGACTATTCATCCTCCAGAAGCTTTTCTCTCCTCTTCTGTTTTATACAATAGCTGAGCTGCATGTTGTAGTTGGCTGAGATTTTCATTTTGATTGATGGTTGCATGTCTGCATACAAAAAGATATCAGAGGTGTTGTCTCTTGTAAGTCATTCAGAGTCTCGTGTCCTGGTAAAGCATTTCTGTGACAAAATCAGTGTAGCAACTAGCAAGAGAGGAGCAGAGTCTTAAAATGTGGCGAATAGGTTCCTTCTTATTTTATCATGTATCACTTGAAAATTCCGTTTATATAAGTAGCTTACAGTAATCTACTACTTTGCTACACCGTTTTTCTATGTTGCTGCATGTTGTCTCTAGAAGGGCTTCATACATAAGTATTCTATGTGTTTGACAAAGATTTGTTTCTTCTTTAATATGCCAGTTCGGTCCCTCTAGTGCAACAAGCATCATCGTCCATTCCTACAGAGGTACATGTTTCTTAACATATTCTTGTACTTTGTTGTTGAATGTGAACTTTGTGTTCCTGACAAGTTAGGATACGTTCTTCACCCTCCTGTCTTATCCGTAGATGTTTGTAGTAGTGATTTGTTCTTTCTCCCTTCGGAACGATTCCTTTGTCTCAGTACCAAAGCTCATGTGCTTCCAGCCCAATTAGGCAATTAGTAGAGCTCTGGATTCTGATGTGAATTTTGATCAGTATGAATCCTCAAGGAAGAATTTTTTTAAATAACAGTCAACTACTCGACTTCTTTATCCTAGTTTTACTTTTGCATGGTGTGAAATTTTGTCGGCTTGCATATCCGATATACTGAGACAGACTAGTGCATTCTACACACTTTTTCTTATAAGTAGTGATTGACGGCCTCAAGGTTCCGAACCCACAATAGCACTAAGGCCAAATTCAGTTGCAGCTTGTCAACAGAGTTGAATATGCTTTTGATCTGTTACTCTGCTCTCTAGCCAAAGCAGCAGCAGGAGACATCAAATAGGTTTGGTAGCTTGAAGGCTTCAGAGGATGAACTTACTTGCAGTGTATGCTTGGAGCAAGTGGATGTTGGAGAAGTCATACGAACCCTCCCATGTCTGCATCAGGTCCTGTCCTTTCTTGCAGATCCTAAGCTCTCTTTTGTTTGTCTATGAATGGCTTCTTTCAGTATATCAATATTAGGCACCGTGGCCTAATATGCTTAAGCACACCATTAACTTGATTTTTTCCCCTGCAGTTCCATGCCATTTGTATTGACCCATGGTTGAGGCAACAGGGAACATGCCCAGTTTGCAAATACAGAGCAGGATCCAGCTGGGCTGAAAATGGACAAGCTCTGGATGCTGCATACATGGTTTAGCTTTTAACCTCTGCATCAATTGACTCAGTCTACCTCTCCAAAGGATAGAAAGTAAAAGGTTCACTGGAGTTCCTATTGAACAAAGATGGAAGGTCTAATTTAACAGTTACTGTGTGTGTGCCTAACACTAAATCGTAAATCTTTCTGACTAGTGCACACTGCAGAAAAGATGCGGATTGATGTATTTAGTAACATCATAACATTTTGTAATATAGATTACTCGGGAAGTTGGCAATCGAAAAATCACAGTTATTATAGTAACTTTTTACTTGCCGTGGATACTTGATTGAGTTGGGAGAAGTCTCACATCAGGCAATGGTTGCTCTGTGTTTGTTAGCCTTAACACCTCAAAATCATACACTCAAAATGATATTGAAATTGTTACTATCTGCTAGCAGAGTAGCTGGTAATTTATTGGCCTTAACAGTCGCGCTATCGCTCTGAGTGAGTCGACAACTACAGTTGAGTTTCAAATACAACAATATGGAAGAGCTAAAACTGGGAAGCTGGAGCACATTCCTTTGTTACTTGGACTTCCCTTTTCCCTTCCCTCCACCCTTCTTTGCGTCTAGTTTGGCCTGAATACGAGCAGCGGCAGCAGCTTTCGCTTCTTCTCGTTTCTTCTTCTCTTCCTCTTTGACTGCAGCCGCCATTTCCCTTTGCTTCTTCAGCTCACTGAATTTGAACGGATTATACAGACAAACAAACATAAGCTTGTGGGTACAATTGCGAAAAATGTAATAATGAATGATGTTTGCTTACTCTAGCCTAGCTCTCTCCTCTGAAACACTGCTCATGCTGGAACCTTTCCGAGGACGACAAGCCACAAGTTCCACCTCGAAAACAAGAGTTGCACTGCATCAAGAGAAAACGTGCCCTATCAGAAAACAGACTCAGATCATGATTTAACACAACTGTCTAGCTATAGCATTACTCTGCTGGAATATCCGGTGGAGAGCCTGCACTGCCATAGGCGTACTCCGGCTTGCAAGTGATCTTTGCAACCTCTCCCACCTGGAATTGAATAGCAAGAAATTTTTTGAGCACACTAATAGGGAAGCATTCAGTGATCTGGAAAACGAACAACACTTGACATAACTAGACCTTCATCGTTCTCAAGGCAACATCCCATGCCCGAATCACCGAACCACTTCCAATTTCGAATGAGAAGATTGTGTTGTCTTCATGTGTGGTATCAAAGACTTCCCCGGTGTCGGCTAATGTGCCCTCGTAATGAACTGCAGAAGGAAGAAGAGATGGAGATCTTAGTTTACAGATCAAATAGTAAGTACAGAAAATAAACACAAATGTGCCATTTGGGAATCCTTTCCATCAGCCAGAAAGGAGAAACGACTGGTCTACATTCCTGGTTCCCAAGATACTTACATCAAACAAGCCTACATAGTACATACCAAGGAACAAAAAATGGAGCATCCTCGATCCCTAAAAATTACATATAGATTAAAGAAGACGAGCGATTTTGCGCGAACAGAAATTCAGTCAACTCCAACTATAGCCAGTCCTAGATTACCCAAGCTTACCATCAACAAGAGGAAGATCATCTGAAGGTTCAACTGCATCGGCTTTTGCACGCCTTACGATCTTCTTCATGACACCTCCATCGCCGGTTAAGTCAATTGCATCACCCATTGCTTATACAATCTTACAAAATAGTACAATTTCAACAAAGAAGAAACATCAGAACATACAACAGCCAAGACTTAAGCTACATCCAGTCATCCACCAGAAACCATAAATTCTTAGAAAGGAGAACGCAGAACCGATACCCAATTAACCTAACACAAGTTGAACAGACATTTCTATTTCAACTGATAGTCATTCATGCCCTTTAAAATTTCACAGACACTGTTTCCATGACAAACTGTTCTCAACACCAGCTTTCACTGTACTGGAAGCTCTGTTAGGAACCCATTGGATTTGGGAATGAAGTTTCCCTACTCCAGCTAGTTCTGTGAACCCATCCTAGAACAATAACACCTCAAATAGAGTTCATCCACTAAGTCAAACATCCCCCAAAATTCTCCAACGATTGTGCACCTTTACCAGATACAGCAAGTTCATTCACAGAAGATACCAAACCCAGTTCCTATTTCACTCTACAAACTCCAAAAGAAGACAAATTGGAATGAACCACTAGCAACCGCCCCTTCCCAAACCGAAATCTGTCAAATTCATGGACAGAAACTTCACAGTGAACTGACAGACCTGCTTCAGCGGCTCAGACCAGCGTGAGGATCGGAAAGGAGACTCGAAGAATTAAGAGAATCGCAGAGGATTTGGGGAGGAAACTCAGCGTCGATGTCGTTGGCCATAGGCGTCTGGAGCTTCCTGATTAGTTCGTTCAGCTGCGCAGGAAATGCTGCTGGGGTTTTGTTGGGAAAGGAAATGCACGCGCCGCGAAGCGAGTGGTGTAGAGTAGAGGTTGAAATCATATTCGCCGTCTTGGGCTTCGCTCAATTGGGCCCAATGGCATCAAATAGATTCCTCCTCCACTCTGCCACTCCAACTTTTGGCGTGTTAAATATGACGTCGATAATTCGGATGAACTACAATCAACTTAACAATTACTCAAATAAATGCGGGTAAGCAAATTTATCGAATAGTGATTCACTCACATCAATAATCCACCTACTGTATATCAAGTTAATATCAAATTATTTGCCGGTGAATATATGTAAAATTGGTGATTAAACCACCACCTGTCCATCCAATCAAACTCATTTTAATTCTGCCACTACGAAATTTCACACCATCGCCGAAATTCAACGCCGCTAAAATGAGTAGTTTGAAAATAGTTTGGTAGGGTTTACAATGTTGTTGGTGGCCTGTGTCTCTGTCCCAAGCGAATGGTGAAACAAAGACGGAACATGTTGGGCCCTCGTCGAGCTGGACAGTCAAACATGGGCCTCCAATAGATAGCATCTACTCAATGCCCAGTGGTACAGTTTTTGGGGTAATAATTATGACGTTAGGCAGACAACTCTTTTTACCTTGTATCCCTTTTTGGTTACACGCTTCGGTCTTAAGTCTTAACGAGAGCGGAAGTGTTTGGTACGTACAATACATTTTTCCTGTTACTTTGCAGAATTCACTTTAGAAACACCCCTCTAAAATAAAACCAATTACAAAGCTCTGTCAAGTGCGCCCAAGTTTGGATCCTGTGGTCCTGAGATCCAGTCATGGCTACCCATAAATAAGGATTAGCGGGCCCAAATACTGTGGTCCAGATCCAATCCGCCATTCCAAACTTAGCATATGCCAAAACCCAATTTTTATGCTGTCCAACTTTTATAACTGTGCAGATTCAATTAACCAAGCAGACTTTTTCATAGCTTGATGCCTTTGTCCTTGGAGATACAGATTTGGCCCCTCTCTCTTTCTATAGAGGTTAGAGGTCCCCCCTTATCTTTGCTATTTTTCTACTTAATGATATACTGCGGGAATATATTATTTTCTTAATAAACAGGTACAAAGCACGATGATCGTTATACTAACTACTAAGCATTCTCGTGTTTTGTGCATTATCAGGACATTTATAGCTAAAACGAGTGACTATTTTCTGGTCACGAATTATCAATTATGGCGCACAAAACAACTCCTCCAGCCTACATCCAGATGCGGCTGGGCCAGATTTTAAGGCCCAATTTTGTACAGCCTTCATTACCCATTTCTATGATGATCAATAATAATAAACAGGCAAAGGGACAACAACCCCATTTCATTAATTTGAATTTAGTAAATCATTTTATGTTGAATACATTGCCAACGAAAATTATTGTTAAAGGTCCTTTATGCTTATTCTCCATCTACAAATTTATTATCGTAGTTCAACATGTCCATGGATCAAATACGAATTGACTGCTGCGAAGACTGTAAAAATAACTTAAACAACGATCGCTGATATAGAAGAAGATTAGAGCAGTTGGTTAGATTATAGAACATGTTGTACTTGTATAACTCAAATTGGTTATTCTCAGATAATGGACATTAAACAAATTATAAAAGAAGTATCTTATGTCAATCCGTTTGGGGATGATTATCTATTTCACGTCCTACCTTAGCCAAATGACATGGATATATAATGAATATGAACAAATCTACCAAAAGAGGTGACGACGATGATAACAACAAGAAATAAAAAAAAATTGTATTATATGGCATCACTGTATATTTAAAAAACATTCTAAAACTTGTATATCCATATCTCCATCTAAAAACTAAAATGGGAAATCCACTTATGATCAATCAACATACTTTTGCTGAGTAGGATGCCAACTAAGCATGATTCCCACTTTTCCCCATCCACTTCCTAGACCAACTCTAGTCATTTAAAACCAAAGTCCCTCATAATTTCCTCTAAAACCCCTATTGAAGTAATGTGTTTGGGCTCTGGGCTACCTTTGTATTAATATACCTCAAAAGTTTTTGAATTCGGAGTGGTTAAGGTGTTGGACTTATATGAGAAGGATCTCGAATTTGTATCCATTTTCTCACTCATATAATTTCAAAGATGTCATTTTTCATCCATATTCTCCCAGCCAGCCAGATGAAACCATTTAGCAAATCCAATTCAACTCAACCGATATAAAAACCCATACTTAATAATTCTGACAAAAAATATGGATGAAAGAACTAACTTTTTAGAAACAACACAATATAAAAGACTTCTTTGTTACAAATCACACTAAGAACTTCAACTATCATTAACTCAACAATTTTCACCTCACTCTCACTCAAATTTACTTTTCAAACAGCATCATGTCTCCTCCAACTTATAATTCCACCACTCCACAGTCCACACATATTCATCCCTCCCATTGAACTTTTTACCCCCTCCGTATTTGCCAAATAGAGGGTAAAGAAACAGGGCACCTTCAATTCTGTTTCCCCAGCAACGACTAGTCAATTCTGACCCTCGATAGCAATTAGCAAACAAAGAAGTGGTGGGTTCTACTTCTACATTGCTTTGGTTGAACAGCAACCAGATTAATAATGTATATTATCATCATGTTCATGAAGATACAGAAAGTGTAATGCATTAGAGAACGAAAGAAGACAAAAAGGGAACAAAGGAAAAGTTGAGAAGTCGTTTTCTAATTAAGCTGGATAGCATTATTGTTGGGGTTACGAGGTTGGTTGGGTTGATGATTAATTCTCAGTCAAACTTGCAATCATAGGATTTGGTGGTGCCATTTGCATCGAGGTTGATTCATTTCCTTGTCAGCATGCTTCATTAAGCACCGCAATCTTTACCAAATCTAACCCCACTTTACAAGCTTTCAACATTCTCGGTGAAATTTAACATTTTGTTTTCACTACGAGTGAATTTTGTTGGAGTTAGGATAAATGTTGTCTACCATTATAATAAGTTTAAAGTGCGTGAAATGACTTACAGAGAAAATAAATATGTGATCTGCGAGGTGGACAGTATCATGAGTGATGCCTGTATTTATATCATGTTAAATGTTAACATTAGGCATGCATTTTTATCATAATTCAACCAATATTGAAGTACACTTATTTTCATAATTATGACATATTATAGTTGGTCTTGACAAAGTTATTAAATAATAGTTATTCAACGAAGAAAAAAAAATTAATAGTTGGTCTCGAAAAAGATTGGACTGATACATTCAAGGTGCTAGTGCTCTCCAATTTCTCATAAGAATTTTAAATTCTAGATTAGGTTTAGCCGTTTAGGCCTTGAAAACGATTGGACTCATCTGTTCAAGGCGTTGTTCAAGATGCTAGCGCTCACTTATTTCTTTCACTAGAATTTCGAAATTATTTTTTCCTTATCGGGTTTAAATATTATTGTTTTTATTTAAATAGCGTAAAATGAAAGGGGCGAAAGAAAGAAAATACAAAGGAGATGAAACCTAATCATTTTGGCGATTCATGCTGATTGTAGTCAAAATGAGGGGTGGGACTTTGCTTTATTTAACATCTAACAAGATTCTCGATGATGCAAATTACAAGTGGTGCAAGATTTGTGGGGCATGATCAACAGAAACATTCTCATCTTAATTATTTCTTCAAACATATATAATCAACTTAGGCACTAGAGAATCTAGGCTACCCTATGAAAGGTATGCTGGACTTTCCGATAACTTACTTTTTTAGTGCTCTAATCATCTTTATTTCTTCATTGTTCCTCCCTCACTTTATTAGGATGATATTTGTTTCGTGGCGCACGCCAATCTTAATCCCAATGATTAGCATTCAAATCAACTGATGATCACTACTCCATTGTGGACTTATCACTTGCGGCCTGCGGGACTCAGGGGATGGTGTTCTCTGTTTCCTTGCCTATAACACAAAGTGGGTTCCAAAAGTGGGAAATCTGTGTGGAAAGCAATGAGCTTCTTTTTAACCCTAATCAAGAGCTAAGACTTGAATAAATAGAAAGCAAAGCGAAAACATGGGAGAATAACAGTGCTTCTATTACGAGAAAGCACCACGAAGTTAAGGATAAGGACCTAAAAAATTAGGTCACATTCTCCCCGAAATTAGTCTTTTTAAGGAGCGTTTTACTCCAATATGATGATTGTAACACGTTACAATCTCAAGAAGGTTGATATGAAAATGAGAATTTGGATTCATGATACAGGAAGAGAGTTGCCCTTCGAGAAGATAATATGCCATTGAAAGTTACGACTATAATGAATTCACGGAGGTCCCTCCATAGACGAGATCAATGAGCAGGACATCCAAAAATGTAAGAAGTGATGCTATTCTCGAGAAGATTGAGCTTTTGCTTGGAGGTTCCAAGTTATGATGTTTAGTTCGAGGGTACGAAGAACAAGAGTGCATCCTATTTGGTCACTGGTCACATATGATATGTCCACGAGACGAAAGTAAAGAGTCTAAAGCCTACCAATTTGTTGTGCTATTAAACCAACATCAACTCTATCTCAAACCCGTATGTGGAGTTGTGGACTCTTTTTTGGTACTCCAACAACCTCTTACGACCAATCAACGTGATAAACAAGAGAACTCTGTTTATTTTTAGGTATAGATGCCCTCCACAATGAAATAGCTACCTGTTTGTTCACTTCTATAACTAGAAGTTGTTTCCTTTTCATGAATAAGGGAAGTTACCCTTACGGCACTATCCCACTTGGCCACTACTCACTAGTGTGATATAAGAAGAGTATAGAACTAATGAATTAGGCTGATGATCCATTCGATACAATTGTGTAAAAAGAGACCGGCCTTAAATCAAAACCGGAAGCAAAAGAAACAACCTCTCATCTCGTCAGCACTCATCACCCACGTTCATCCACCTTCAATACACCCTCCAAAACGCCAATCCCATTTGTTTTAATATGATTTAACATTTCATCATTCCCCCATTAAATAAATTAATTAAAACACTCAAAATTAGAAGATATATTGTTTGTGATATAAAGTGTTGGTTGTACTAAGCTAATAAGTTGATACAAGATTGAAGTTTACATAGA